GGAACTCGGGCAAAGTATGGTGGTCAAAATAGTCTCTCCAATCCAAAACACCTTCCTCTTTGACCAGCATCCTACTACCATAACCCTCACTCGCTGCAAAATTAGCATCACAAGCATATTTGGTCTTATAATCCAAGCTCGAATCAAAGAAACCCATGCCTATCCTCTTCATATCTTCTATCAATTTATCTGAAACTCCATGGTTTCTTACTTGAAAAGCTCCCAACTTCTGGCAAGCTTGTTTGATTTGGTGTTGGACAAGGCTGGAAAACTCGGGATCGAAGTTGCAAAGGTCAATAACAGGAACTTGGGTTTTATTAAAATTAGGGTTTAGAGATAAAGAGGGTCTTTCATGGGGTGGTTGAATGTAAGGAGAAGGGACGTGAGAGAAAGAGAGGTGTTGGACTCTCCGTAAAGACGCCATTGTTGTGTTTGGACTTCGTTTCAAAGGAAGGACTCAAAAGATTTGGATTTAGGGGACACACAGAAATGTGCGAGACAGAAATGTGAGAGACGGAGCAAATAATTTCCATTGTTTTTAGGACTGGATTTATTGACGCTCTGTTTGGTAACTGACAAAGCTGTTTGATTGGATGAGTGTTATGAGCAATGGTTTAAAAAACGGATCGGTGACCCGGATCGGGTATCCAAAAAATAGATCCGGATCTGAAAATCAACGAACCGGATAAAAAATAGGGTGAAATCGGTTTGAATAAAATTTAAAAAAAATTCGAAAAAATTATTAAAATTTATTATAAATATTTTTTTTTAGGAATTCAATAAGAAAAGAAGATACTCCATTAAGAATTTTCATGTTTTTGAATGAATATGCGAATATTGATATGTTCTTTCCCTGTCACCATTCAGCATTTAATTTATATCACACAAAAGGACAAACATAGAATTATCATGGAATAAGTATATCAACATACATGGACTACAATAAAGCATAAAATTAATAACATATGATCTAAAAATAAAATGAAAGACGACGTTATTGTTCTTCTTGGTCACGCTGGTGCCATTGATTGAATTCGTTTAACAATTCATTGGTTCGATCTAAAAAGGAATCATCGATATTACCAAGCGTCTGACTATTCGCAAATCCCTGAGTGTTAGTGTTTTGTTGTGTTTCCAATCCAAAATCCCCGAAGCTTGTCCATCTTTCATGCTCACCTGCACTGTCGTGCTCATCCCTACACTGTTGCTGTTGGGACTCGATATGTGAATAATATAGCTGGGATAGGGTGGCCTCAAAATCATCATCTCTCTCATTTTCTCTTTGAATAATATTGATTAAAAAAAAAATTAACAAATTTTCAAAAAAATTGATCATGGATTAAAAAAAAAAATCACAAATTTTCAAAAAATTCTATCATGGATTACAAAAAAAATTTGATCATGGATTAAAAAAAAAAATCACAAATTTTCAAAAATTTCAATCATGGATTACAAAAAATTCGCATGGATTACAAAAAATTCGATCATGGATTACATAAAATTCGATCATGGATTACATAAAATTCGATCATGGCTTACAAAAAAAAAAACATAAAAAACAAAAAATTCCATCGTGGATTACAAAAAATGAAAAAAACAATTCGATCATGGATTACAAAAAATTCAATAATGAATTACAAAAAATTCTATCATGGGTTACAAAAAAACAAAAAAACAAAAAACTCGATCATGGATTACAAGAAAAAAAAAAACATTTCGATCATGGATTACAAGAAAAAAAACAAACATTTCAATCATGGATTACAAAAAATTCGATCATGGATTACAAAAAATTCTATCATGGATTACAAAAAATTCAATCATGGATTACATAAAATTCGATCATGGATTACATAAAATTCGATCATGGATTACAAAAAAAAAACAAAAAAACAAAAAAAACAAAAAAAACAAAAAATTCAATCCTGGATTAAAAAAGAGGAAAAAACAATTCGATCATGGATTACAAAAAATTCAATCATGGATTACAAAAAACTCTATCATGGGTTACAACAAAAACAAAAAACAAAAAATGCGATCG